GATTTTGATACCAGCTCTGTGCTTACATCTTTTCCCAGATATGGCTTGTCTTTTCGCTTCTTTTCAGGTGTCTTTTTGGAAACAGAAATTATTTTTAATTTTTTAAAAATTTTATTAGAGTATAGTTGAGTTAAAATGTTGTGTTAGTTTCTGATGTATAGGAAAGTGAATCAGTTATACATATACATGTACCCACTATTTTTTAGATTTTTTTTTCCCATATAGGTCATTACAGAGTATTGAGAAGAGTTTGCTGTGCTATACAGTCAGTCCTTAGTAGTCACCTGTTTTATATATAGTAGTGTGCATATGTCAATCCCAATCTCCAAATTTATCCCTCCCCCCATTTCTCCCTTGGTAACCATATGTTTGTTTTCTACATCTGTGACTCTATCTCAAACAGAAATTATTTTTAATGTGGTCAGTTGCATCTTTTCATCATGGTTAACACCTTTTTGGTGTTTTCTTTAAGAGTTGTTTCCCCACCCTGAAGTCAGAAAGATATTAACCTACAATTTTCTTCAAACAGTATTAAAGTTGTGCTTGTGACATGTAAGTCCTTAATCCATCTAGAGCTGATTCTTTCTTTTTTTCTTTTTTGGCTGCCCCACGCGGCATACAGGATCTTAGCTCCCGGACCAGGAATCAAACCCGTGCCCCCTGCAGTGGAAGCACAGAGTCCCCGCAGAGTTCCCGCTGCACCGCCAGGGAAGTCCCTCGAGCTGATTCTTGAGTACACTGTAAGGCAGAGATTCAAGTGGACTTTTTCCCCACATGTATAACCAATTTTACCTGCTCTACTAAATCACATGGTCCCTCCCGCTTTGGTCTGCCAGCTTCCACTGTCATAAATCAGAGTCCCACACATGCCTCCTCTGTTTCCAGGCTCTCTTTTCCATTCCTTTGGTCAATTTGTTTATCCCAGTGATAAATTTCCAAATACGTGGGGATATTTTAAATTATATTTTTGTCATTACTAACTCCACTGCACTGAGGTCAAAGAATGTGCTCTAATAGCAATTCTTTGAAAATTTTTTGGAGGTTGCTTTCTAATCTAGTATACTATCAATTTTTGAAAATAGTCCATAAGTGCTTAAGGAGAATCTGATCGTGGGAGACAAAATTCAATTAATGTCCATTATATCAAGTCTGCTGCTTATGTTGCTCAAATCTTCCATATCTTGGCTAATTTGTTCAGCTTTGCCATCAATAATTAAGAGAAGCATTTGAAATATCCCATGCTGCTGATGGATTTGTCTCCCTAGTCTACCAATTTTTAAAAGATTTGTCGAAGTAAATTTGCAGATGATAATTCACTTTTGAAATGATACGGACATTCATAAGAGAGAGAAATAACTATTGTCATGGGGGAAGAGCAAAGGCTATGGAGGCGAGAGAAGGCCCCATCCTAGATTTTACAGGTCAGGGGCAGCTTCCTGGTCCAGACACAGGGAGATCAGGAGAGGCTGCAAAGCTGAGATCATAAGGGTGTGTTGCCATCTTTCTGCAAATGAAAGACCGGAGGGACAGTGCTCCAGGCAGCTTGTGCCAAGGCCTGGAGGTGAGAAAGGACCTGTTCAGGGAACTTGAAGTATTAATCGTTCAGGGTGGCAGAAGCAAGGAGGATGAGGAAGGAATGGTGAGAGACGGGTGGGAGAAATGAGCACAGGCCAGACCCCCAGGGTCTTCGAGCTCCGGTGGGGAGTTTGACTACTAGGAGGGTTTCAGCAGAGAGGGACATGGTCAGGTTACAGGACAAAAAAATTCCCTCTGGCTTCTGAGTCAAGCTCAGACTGGGAGTGGGGAGGCAGGGAGGCCTGTGAAGAGGCTCTGTGGCGGATGGAGGCTGGTCTGCACCATGGTTGATGGGAGGGGCACCACAAGGCAGAGCCCTTGAGCATCCTGGTGGCAACCTTGGCTGTCAATGGGAGCCCTGGAGGAGGAGCCTCGAGTTGAGTGCAGGGCTCATTCAGTGGGCAGAGGGGTCCCCAGTCAGCACAGGGTGGATCGATTTGAAGGGTAAGGAGTGCACACCTCAGACTCCAGAGCCAATGCTCCTTTCTAAGAGTGTTACCAGACTTAGCAAAAGAAATAAAGAAAAGAAAAAAATAAATACATGGAGATCTACAGGATAAAATTTGAATTTCAGATAAACAGTGAACATTTTTTTGTATCTGTCCCTCAAATTGGGCATCCTGTATTTTATCGGGCAACCCTCATTCAACCCTCCTCCCCCCATACACACATTGTCTTTCTGAAAAAACAACAGCAACAAAGAAACATAGAAACTGCTAGTCTGTGGCCTTTCCGGCTTCGACTTGTCATCCTTCACCCCGGGCCTCCTCGGAGACTCTGACGCTGAGCTCCATCTTCCCGCTAAGTCTGGAAGCCCCTGACAGATGGGCCCGGTGCCCAGGCTGGGCAAGGCCAGGACCCCGCTGGGAGTGAGGGGAGGGCACCGAGGCCCATCAAGGGCTCCCTCAGCCCTGCCCCCCAACTGGTTAGGGCGTTTCCGGGAAGTGGTCCCTGCCCAGCGCCTGAACCCCCAACCAGGCTCAGGGCCACATAGCTGGGGCCGTTTCCTAGAATTACCAGAACCATTCTATGTCACTGTGGCCACATCCTCCCTTGAGCAGCCCTGGGCTTGGTAGGATCTAACAGGCCAGGTCTGGGCTGGGATGGGTCCCAGGCAAGGCCCTGCTTCAGTGGGCTGCGGACCGCTCCCTGGAGCTGCCCAAGAGAGAGGCCGGACGTGCCCATGATCCTCGGCACCCGCATTGGGACAGGGGCCCACCCCAAGGCCTGGGGAGCCTAGTACAAGCTAGGGCTGGCCAAACTAGGGGAGCTCAAACGGGGGCTCACATCACCCTGAGAGAGGCAGGGGGACACTCTGCTGGAGTCGGAGTGGGAGAGAGACCACCTCTGTGGGAAAACTGGAGAGATTTCATGGGAGGCATGATAACTGAGCCCCTGAGAATTTAGGTAGATCAGAGGATTTGGGAACCAAGGGGTAGGGGGACAGGTGGCAATGGCCTGGAGCCTGTACCGTGTGAGGAATGTCCATAAAATGACAAAAGGCCAGCAAGGCTGGACCAAAGGCAGCTCTGGGGAAAGTGGGAGAGGAGGTAGCACAGCCGAGGGACAGCGGGATATGCTGAGTGAGGAGCTGGGCCTGTGAGGCCGAGCACACCTGGACCGCAGAGGGTTGGCCTCTGAGACTCAGCTGACACTGTAATAATAATAACAAAATACGAATGATAACAATAACCATTTACTGAGCACTTACCCTCTGCTATGCCTCTTTCTATGGGTTCTTTTATTTACCCTTCAAAATAGGTACTACTATTGCCCCATTTTACAGATGGGAAAACTCAGGCACAGAGAGGTGGAGTGGCTTGTCCACGGTCACACAGCTGACAAGTGACAGAGCTGGCACTTGAGCCCAGGCAGTATGCGGAGCCTGCGCCACTCACCAATTAGTGAAGGGCTATTCACATCAAGAAATGAACAGAGGGCAGAGGATCTCCCTGGGAGAAAAGGGATCCGGCTCCAACTCCCTCCCTGTGATGTTCAAAGTCATTGCAATCTACCTGATGGCCTGGAGCGGGGCCCTGAGAGCCTATCCCAGCCCAGCGCTCTAGTGCCAGGTATGCCCAGAGCATAAGACCCCAAGAGCCAGAGTGGGTGGCTGCGTTGGGAAAGAGAGAAATGGCTGTGTAGGCAGTGCTAGCATTCCTCCTGCTGGTCGCCCAGCAGGTGCAGTCCTGGAGGCAGAGCCTCTCCATCTGGTGTGTCATATCCACAGACAGGCGAGCACAGCATCACCAGACATGGTTTTGGACCCAGTGGCTTCTGACATTGGCCAACAGGGCCCCCTGGTGTGAAGCCTGGGAAAGGCGCTCGCTTCATGAGTGGTCTCCCACTTGCCCTGACAGGACAGGTCAAGGGCAATGGTGATTTTCTACAACTGCGACAGCTAACAAAACAAAAAGGAAGGAAACTGAAATGGGAAGCCTGACAAAAGACTTGTATAATTTATACCAATTTCTAAATACTTTAGGTGCCCACCAACTCCAAGAGAACAGACAAACAAGCTTGGGATTTAGAACCCATACCCTCACGCCTACCAGGTGAAATTCAATCCTGCCCAGTCATCAAATAGCCGGATCACTGGAGCTCAGGTGGAGGGGAAAGAGGCGCTCCCCTCCCACCTCCAGGAAGCCCTGTGGCCCCAGCTGCTGGTCTTAATGGCCTATGGGGCTCTGGGGAACGCTGGAAGAGGAGCCTCTGGAAAGGACTGGACTTCCTGATCTTTGGGAAGGGTGGACTTGGAGTTAGAGTCATCATAATTTTGGGGGTTAAAGGAAAAGAGGCCTCAGGTGCAGGCTGGTGAGGTCTCACACACTGGGTGGGTCTCTAAGCGCTGGGCTGGGGACCCCCGGCCAGGGCTGACCCTCTCCTGGAGGAAGCAGGGCCCAGCAGGTGTTTTCAGGGCAGGCCCAGGCCAGGGTGGGGATCCCCACCCCACTGTGACCTCGTCCTCCCTGGTGCCATTGAATCTGCATAAAGCTCTGGGATTAGGCAGGACCAGAGACATCTGCCACCATGTCACAGATGTGGAAACCAAGGGTCAGTGAGAAATGACAGGCCCAAGGTCAGACAGTGAAAGTCAGAGAAAGGCATTGAAACGTGGCCTCCTGACTCCCAGGCCAGTGCTCTGGCCATAGGCCTGGCCAGCTGGGCCCAGGCACCAGAGGCAAGTTTGCTGCCCCCAGGTGGGGCTGGACCTGCCCCAGAGCAGAATGCCTGGGGACGGAGAGCAACACGCTGCCCTCTGGGCCTGGGGAAGGCACGGAGGTGGAAAAGGCCCCCTGGAGGTGACAGTGGCCTCTGGTGTCCAGCAGCTGGCCTGCCATCTTCTCGAGTGGAAGCCAGGGCCTCCGGCTGCAGGCAGCCAGAGAAGCTGGGGGTTCCAGGCCAGGAGGTCCAGACAGTCCAGTCTACTGCACCATCTGGGAAGAGCTGAATGCCTCCATCTCTGCCTGTGAGCGGCGCCTCTGGGAGCAGAACCACAGGAAGAGGAAGAAACCTGCACGCAAGAGACCGGTTAGTGGAAGCATGGCAGGAGCAGCGTGGGGCCTCCTCCAAGATCCAGGCACCTTCTTGGCTGGGGTAAGTGGGGCCTCCCTGAGGCCCAGCAGTACTTCTCAGAAGCCCTTCCTGTCGGGGGCCAGAAGGGACCGGGCGTAGGAGCTGGAGGACCAGCCACCGCTAGCCCATAGGCTGCCTTTGTGCAAATTACAAGGCGGCGCCCCTTCCTACGGGCGGGCGTAGCCCCAAACCAGCTTGTCAGGGCCCACACTTCAGCCCCTGACTCCCAGCGCCTCAACCTGGAGCCCTTCAGTAGTAAACAGGTAGCAGCTGTGCGCTACCCCACCGGGGTTTCCTCCACGTCAACCACAGGCCCTACCGTACAGCGAATTGAAGGTGGTGAAGAGGAAGAGCG